GGGTAACGGCTCTATAGCCGTTGGGAAGGGGAACGGCTAAAAAAATCGGCCCTCACGCCGCGTCAAACGAATGACACAGGGCTCCTCACGCCCGTTTAACGCCGGCGGGGGGCGGTGTTTCACGCCCCCAGTGCGTTTAACGCCCCATAACGCCGGTGGGCGTGAGGAGTATTACCAGTGCTCTTATGGAGTGTTCCAAATCATAATTTATATTGCCATATGTATTAGCAAATAAAAAATCTATAATACTCCAATTGAATATTTAAGTGTTAGAGTAAAAAAATAGTCTAAGTTCGTAGGAATCAAGGATACTCTATTAGCACATAAGTTCTTTTATAAAATTGTGCCCCCAACTATTTTTTATTCTGAATCTGCCATTGCCACTGTATCTGGTGGGATTGATAGCACTACTAGATTTTTAGCTTATTCATTATTAGCCCATTATAGCCTTGCTTTAGGAATGGAATAAAACTAATAAGAGAATGAAATTCAATAAGGGATTGGCTAGCCTTGAAGATGACTAAGAGCCTGTTTGTTTCAGCCTCTTAATGGTTCAGATGTCTGAATGGTTCAGCACTTAATGGTTCAGACTGTTTGTTTCAGTCTCTTAATGGTTCAGATGTCTGAATGGTTAAGAGATTTGCCTCTGAATGGTTAAGTATTATACAGAGTCTGAATGGTTAAGACCTCTTATCTAAATTGATCAGACATTTGCCTCTGAATAGTTAAGCAATATACTAGCTCTTAATGGTTCAGACCTCTTACTCGTTCAGCACTTAATGGTTCAGACCTCTTACTCGTTCAGCACTTACCCATTCAAAAGTTGCCAAACAGCCTCTAAGAGGAGATTCAATAAGAAGCTAATGCTAAGATGCTTTTTCCCCTACCTTTCTATTCCTTCCTCGATAGTACAATGCAGTACAATGCAAAAAGATCGGCTATGCTTGATGCTCAAAATGTAGTGACTAAGGACCGTGCTACAGTGCACCCACCAATGCCTCCTTTGCTGCCTCCCTATTTAAGGTATTTTTTTTACTTTTTCTCCTTCTTTTTTTTTCTCCTTTCCTCTATGTTGCTCTAGATCTGCTCTTCCGCGGCAGCGACCGGCTCTCTTCTCCCTTTCACGCGCTCTCCTTCTTACAAACCGGCAGATAATCTCTTCTTTTTCTTATCTTCCTTTTCATATCTCTGATGCGCCAACCCCTGTAGCACGACAATTCCTCTGTCAATCTCTTCTCTTCATTGCATTTTTAGTCAATTTCTATGGCAATAATTTTTTGAATTTTTGTAGAGTACATAGGATATTTGGTGATTGTGGACTTACAAACATCTATTGTTACACATGTTGAGAATGAGCAACCACATGATTTTGGTGGTGAAGAAGAAGACCTGGTTTTATATGAGTTGCAGCCCAGTTGTAAGTGTTGATATTTAGACCTCATTCTATATTCATTTGAAGTAGTGAAAAAAACTGTTTTGTTTTCGTGTTACAGAGATTAAAGTTCTATGAATCTAGGGTTTTTCCTTGTCACAGGCGCTAATTATCTGTATAAACTCTGCATTTGGTGTATTATTGTTTTCTTCATACTCAGGTAGTTTATTATATTAAAGGTACTGTTTTTTGCAGCTTTTGAACCAGATTTTTTTCTAAACGATCCTTGCTTTCAGTATTTATTTAACGACGAAGGGCAAGAACAGGCGAGTGGTGAGATCAGACAAAACACAGATGACATTAACAATGATGTCCGGAACAATGGCCAATGTCCTTCTAAAGGAAACAAAGGTAGCGTGCCTGAAGTGGGGATGAAGTTTACAAGCATTGAAGAAATTCGAGAACACTATCTGGCTTATGCTCGAAGTGTAGGATTTCCAATGCGGACTAGGACAACTCGCAAAGCCAAAGATGGAACTCCTAGAAGTGTTACATTTGTGTGTAGTCGACAAGGAAATAAAAAGAGCAAAACACAAGATGTGTTCCACCCTTTTTGCTTTTTGCTTTTTGTGTAAAGTATGTAACAAGTATGATAACTTTCTCTGAGTTCCCTGCACATAAACTAATGTAAACCTGATGTAACTCTGTCTTCACATACATTAAGTCTCTGTGAAGTCTGTGACAT